GCCTTAATAGGGCTGAGCCAATAGTGCTAGGAGTAGGGGTGTAACGATTTATCGTTGTACGATTTATTGCGATGCAAAAATGTCACAATATGCATCGTGGTGTTATGACGATTTGATTACGATATGACGTCCGTTTTCTCTTATTAGTTGAGCTGATTGCATGTGAGCTACGTTCCACCTGCTGTCGCACGTGAGTTCAGATTGCAGCAGCAGTAATGTTAGCAGACCAAGATGAGTGGAGCTGAAATAGAGGATGGCCCATCCTCTCAAAATCAGACATCTTGCAACATTTCGGTTGTACAGTCATTGCTTTAGACTCATCCGCTTTTTGACACGCATACTGGGTCAAACATAGCCTAAGTTTTAAAGTCTTCACAGTGATTTACATACTTTGCACAGCGACATGGAAACCTTCTAATGGTGTTGAAAGAGTCACATACTGTATTTATAAGGTACAATTCACCCTAAAATATCATTCTGTCTTCATATAATGTTCCCGCCGCAAAATCACACATGACGTGAGCTGACCGTGAGCTGTTACTACAGAGGGCGGACTTTGATAGAGGTGCGCGTATGGCAAGCCGTTTTAGCATTTAAATCTTTGTTCTGACTCCATGAATATTATGTATTTAGAGATATCTCTAATTATATTTTGACTAGTCATAATTATAATTAGACTAGTCAGAATGACAATTAGAGATATCTGCAATTACAATTGTACTAGTACGAAATCAGATTGGAGATATCTGCAAATATATTATGACTAGTCATATTCCTCCATTGACTTCCATTGAAAAATATTTGCAGATATCTCTGAATAAAATATGAATTAAATACCTGGAAATGTGGATTTTTTTTTGTACACACAAAAAAACGCAAGTGACCAAGCAAAGCCTTAAGCTCTTACTGTTAAATTCAATTGAATAGAAAGCTTATTTTTTTGCACCTTTACTTAAATTGTTCCTTAATTTTGTCTCTGTCATTTCAATAATAGTTTTAAGAAGTTTTTAAATTGTTTTATTTTCCAGAGACAGGCCTGTTTAATTTATTTTCTTAAAGAAGTTTCAGTTTAACAAGTTGAAACAAAAGAAATACATAAAAAATAGTTTACTTGGTAAAATTTGCATTTCAGTTTAATTTTCAATTTTTATTCCAAATATCGTGATACATATCGAATCGTGAACATTATACCGTGATACACATCGTATCGTGAGCTCAGTGTATCGTTACACCCCTAGCTAGGAGTGTAGGGGTATGACTCATCACGTTGTGGAACTTAACGGTATAGTTTAGATCAGGACTCAGTCCAGGAGGGCCGTCCTGCAGAGTTAAAGTCCAACTTGCTTCAACACACCTGCCAAGAGGTTTGTAGTATGTGAGCTTGATTAGCTGCTTCAGGTGTGTCTACTTGGGTATGGAGCTAAACTCTGCAGGACACCGCCCTTCCAGGACCAAGGTTTTGGCCCCCTTAAGCTGCGATCACACTTGGCTTTTCCTCCCATAGTCTCCAATTCTTACGCACGCGAATGCGTCAGACCGGAAACGCAGGGTCATGTGTCAAGTTTCGCAGGTTGCTGCGGTGCAAACTTCATGCTTGGTGAAATCTGACCTGCAAAATCGCATCACTTGACTGCGTGAGACCAATCAAGGTTCAAAACATGACCTCTCTGGACAGAAATTTAAAACATGGAGCAATCGCTCGCTTTTTTAAATGTCTAATAAGCTTGTTTAATTCCGCCCGTTTTCACAGCGCCGTAGGACAGAACAACGCATGCTCAAACTCTAATGTGACCGCAGCTTTATGCTTTTGCATGCCGATAACGTAAAGAATTCTTTCCACTGCTGTTGTTCAAAAACAGTGACGTCGCTAAACTATGAGCTACAGCGACTCCGAGCCAATCAAAATTCTAAATAGCCCTATTTAGTCCCCAATAAGGGTGACTTATTTCCCAGGATACATGATAGTTTTAATAACTCATTTCTAATAACTGATTTATTTTATCTTCGTCATGATGACAGTAAATAATATTCTACTAGAAATTTTTCAAGACGCTTCTATACAGCTTAAAGTGACATTAAAAGGCTGAACTAGGTTAATTAGGCAGGTTAGGTTGATTAGGCAAGTTATTGTATAACAATAGTTTGTTCTGTAGACAGTCGGGAAAAAAAAGCTTAAAGGGGCAAATAATTTTCACCTTAAATGTTTTTTAAAACATTTAAACCTGGTTTTATTCTAGCTGAAATAAAACAAATAAGACTTTCTCCAGAAGAAAAAAAAACATTATCAGACATAATGTGAACATTTCCTTGCTCTGTTAAACATCATTTGGGAAACATTAAAAAAAATAAATAAATAAAAAAATTCAAAGGGGGCTAATAGTTCTGACTTCAACTGTATCTGAGGGGAAAAAACATGCTCACCTTCCGTAATTGATTGACTCAAGATCGATTGGGAAATAAGAAGCATGGATTTAAAGATATTTTAAGGATTTCAGCTCAGCTAAAGTTTACAGTGAACTTTTTAAAGGATAACCCTATTTAAAGTATTTATCGTGAAGCACTAATCTAGGAAGTATTGCATTTTCTTTTCTGATTTTGGCAGCAGTTTTAAAATTTTAAAAGTTCACGTTATTGGATTACTTTTGTATGCTTGTACACCTACTTTAGTGAAATAAAAAAACGTTTATAATAATCAAATATAAATCAAGTGGAAAATTAGATAATAATAATATAAATAAATAATAAATAATAATAATAGAAAAAAAAAGCTACTTTTGTGAGACGATAAAATAAATGGGGCCTTTGGGTTTGCTATAGCCCCAGGGGTTAATGTGTTCTAAATCCAGCCCTGTATACAGGTTGTACAGAGGAGTAGAGGAAAAGAAGAGTTTGAGAGAGTTTAATGATGCAAGTCACAGGATTTGTAAGACCTTTTCTACAAACCAAAAATCAATTCAACCCTTCTATTGTTTCTTCAGGGTTACATAAAATTTACAGCAATTCAGTATTAATCTGGAGGCATTACCTGTGTTCCTTCTGTGATGTGGAGAACTCCCTCTGCCAAGCTGGGTTCCCACATGGGTTCCCTGGTGGTTGGTTTGTTGTTCACGTGAGGCTTGGAGTGCAGTCATGTTGACTTCTGGCTTCGCAGTACACTAAACCTAACTAGACTCTCGACAGAATGTAAAATAACAGATGTGGAAGTTTGTCCCATCTTAGAATCGGTGTCTGCAATGCACTCTAGTGCTACTGGGACACCTGAGTGATTTTGGTGGGTCATTCGGTGTGCCGGACCTCTTCAGCCTCCTTTCCACTGCACACGACAAACAACGAGCAAAAGACTGGAAGTCGTTCATCTCCAATGGAAAGTAGTTCGAGAGCTGTGTGTAGACTGTATGCGACCAGTCGACTGGATGTGATGTATTCCAGTGTTGCCCAAGCAAGCGAAATGAGACGTAAGAGTTTTCGTTGTTACTTTTTTAATAATAAAAAGGTCTATGTTAAAAAAACATTTCTAATATATATATATTTTTTTATGTTGTCTCCACATTCCCTCCAAACTTTTTAGAGGTCTATGAGCTTTTAGTATTCATTCAGTCAATCATGGTGAACGCACGGAGATTGAAGTTTTTTTTTTGCACTTTATTATGGACACCACGAGAATCAGCTTCCTTTCGATGGTGCACGACAACACTGAAAATTCTGTGCGACTGCCACAAGGGGGCATACTCCAACAGCTGTGTCCAAATGTCATGTGCAGTGGAAAGGTGGCTTTAGTCTCTTAGGGTGCTTTCACACTAGCACTTTTGGCCCGCACCCGGGTTCGTTTGACGTCATAGTACTGTCTGTTTAGCTAGTGTGAACTTGTCTTCTGAACTCGGGTGCACACCCGTGAACCATACCCGAGTCCGCCTGAAAGAGGTGGTCTGGGATACGGTTCATGAGAACTCTAGTACGGATCACTTCTGATGTGAATGCAATCATACCAATTAATGGAAGCGAACCGCCAACTGTACAGCAAGTTATCCTTTTCATAACGTACGTTTGTGTATGTGTGTGTGCCATGTTTTGTACCTTGGTGACAGGCGCTGGACTGAGCTTGGTAAACACAGCGATACACAGTGATGTCTGCTTGTCTCCTCCAAAAACAGCTTCTGCCGACACTGTGTGTTGTTCTGAATGTTTATAATGTTTTTGAGACAGATGGCCGCGAGTCGCTTTCTGTTTGTCCAAAACCAAAAGATTCAGTAAAAGCAGAATGACCGCGATGTGCGGAAGTCTTTCCATTTCGGCGCTTGCTTTCTTGACCGCCACCTTGCAACGGCCGGGAACAAAACAGCAGCTCAATGACACTAGCGTACCTGATGAGCCAATCACAGTCATTTCTGTTGAGCACTGGTGAACACTATGGCAAATCAGTAGCGTTTATGAATGCACTCAGCAGCACTTAAATGTTAGCGGGAATTAGAAAAAAGGTCAGTACAGCGTCAACACTATTACAGACAACAGGAGGATGTGCTACAGAGGACTGCATGGTTTTAGTGAAATAAAAAAGTACATAAAATATTTTAGACCTAGAACGGCAAATTCAAGACTTTTTAAGGCCTAAAACTTCGATTTTTTAATTTTTGATTTTTTAAGAGTCCTCCAGAAACCCTGATATATGAAAGAATTGGCCCAGTGTGAATATATTTGATATTAGCAATAATTAAAAGTTTAAATGATTCAGATAATGTCGCTAATATTCGATGTATTACCCTACTTGGATTGTGAGGGTGTGACTCGGCCCACACACAATCTGTGCGCACAGAAATCTGCAGATGTTTAGTTCATTACTGAGTCTATTTATTCACTTGTGTAAATGTGTGTAAATTAATACTTATTCAGTTTATAAATTAATTTCAGTAATATTACTGATTTATTTACAATACAGTTTGTGAAGTATTATTTTCTGTCTTTTAGGTTGCAACCATCACCAAATGACAAATCATTGCTGCCACTCTGATACAAGTTTTAATTAAGGAAACAATTACAAAGCAATGCAGTGTTTGAGTATTCTGTGTTTGCCTGAGATGATTGGTCTTAAGCAGCTCGCACACCAGAAGCGCCACTCGGCGACGCGCTGCGCCATGCATTTTAAAATTTTAAACATAGGTTTCTATCAGGGTACACACACTGGCGCCGCAAGTTGGCAGCACCCAGCCACGACTCAGGACGCTGTTTATATCTCTGCAGCACCATCTGAATAGTTACATTTTAAATACCATGCGGATGTGCGAGTCTGGTGTGTGATACTTTCAACTGAATGTGCGCGCTGTGTCTCTGCGCTGATTGGCGCTTCTGGTGTGTCACGCCCTTTACCGAAATGTGAATATTCCATACAAGCTGAAGCTGATCGGTCAATTCTTGTCATGTGACTCGCGGTGCACTTGCAGGATTCATTCAACTGTGTGCATCTGGTCTGGAAGGCCAGCGCCGAGTCTTCCAGACTAAAAGTCACGAACGCCGCACACCTCCATACGAAATAACGAACTTGTGTAAACTCTAGAAAAGACGCAATATGTGATATGCCTAAAAGGCCGATTATCATTCTTTTGGCAGGAACTTCCGGGAGACTTGGGATGTTGGCACCTGATTTGTTGACAGGTGCATTGCGGATCCATTCCTTGGCAGTTCGCCATTCACTGGGCCTTTTCCCCTTAGCAAAGAAACTTTCTAAAGACGTCTGTTTCCTGCTCATTTTGCTACTTGTGGATTAAATTTGGGCGCTCAAGTGACCGAGATGCAAGCGAGAGAATAGGGTAATTGTTCTAAATAAATGAACGTTCAGACTCAGATCATTAATTATTTCCGTTTAATTGATTTTTTCTTGTGTAGCCCGGTACCAATTGATCCATTCCAATTGATCCAATTTGCTCTTCAGTGTTTGAACTCTCAGTAATGATAAATCACACTGAACTGAGCTGAACTGAACTAAACTGAACTTAAACACTAAAAACCTGAACCACACTGTTCCAGTTACTATGACCATTTATATGAAGCTGCTTTGACACAATCTACATTGTAAAAGCACTATACAAATAAAGCTGAATTGAATTGAATTGAATCCATTCACCGGTAATGGTCTGCGGCCCGGTGGTTGAGGACCACTGATCTAAAGAGAAACAAAGCAGATAAGCAGTCTTGTTAGACTATGGCGACTTTACACCTTCAAGGTTACAAGGTTCCTTTCTAGAGTGAATCTTTATATGTGATGTCAGGCTAAATGAATGACCGAATCTCATGCCACAGTGTGAACACATGTAAGGTTTTTCTCCAGTGTGAATCCTCTCATGTGTTTTAAGGATTCCCGACTGATTGAATCTCTTGTCGCAGTGTGAACACTTGTAAGGTTTCTCTCCGGTGTGAATCCTCTCATGTTTTTTCAAGATTCCTGACTGATTGAATCTCTTGTCACAGTATGAACACTTGTACGGTTTCTCTCCAGTGTGAATCCTCTTGTGTTTAATCAGGCTTCCTAACTGACTGAATCTCTTGTCACAGTGTGAACACTTGTAAGGTCTCTCTCCAGTGTGAGTTCTCTCATGTATTTTCAATTTTACAGCTGTAATAAAGGTCTTCTCACATTCCAAGCAAATATGCTCTCTCATACCGGTGTGGATCTTCTGATGATTTTTAAAACCGTCTTCATGTCTGAAAGTCTTTCCACACACAGTGCATGAATAAGGCTTCCCCTCTGTATGAACTCGAAGGTGTCTCTTTAGCGCTGAAGCCCTCAAAAATGTTTTCCCGCACTGATCACATTGGTGTGTTTTCTCTCCAGTGTGGACCAACATGTGTCTACCAAAGTTTGATGAGTGTCTGAAACTCATCCCACACTGAGAGCATGTGAATGGTTTCTCTCCAGTGTGGATCATCATGTGATTTCTGAGACTCTGTTTGTTAAAGAGACTTGTTCCACACTGAGTGCAGGTGACACACTTTTTGTCTTTTCTCTTCAGTGAGTTTTCTTTGATTTTCTCATGTGTCTCCTCCATCAGGCCTGAAATAAAAATAAACACACTGCCTTTAAAATTAATTATTTAAGAAAGTAAAAGTTTACCACCCCTAAAGTTTCATTCATCATCACTTTTGGTGTATTTTTGTAAATTTCAAGCAAGATACACTGATCTTCATTCATTCATTTTAAAACACTTGTCGTATAAACTCAACCGTATTACCATTTCATCATTACCTTTAGATGCTTATTTCTAAAGGACTGCATTGATAATATTGTGGAGTCCATATTTGGACAATGCATTGATAATATTGTGTCACTTTAAAGTGGTGGATTTTAGGGCCGGGCAGTATATCGGATTCTGGGGATATATTTGGGTATTATTCATACCGATATGGTTTGAGGCCACAGGTGCGCTGTCTACGCGTAACAGACCACTCCAAGATAGCACAATAGCTCCACTTGCACAAATCTGTATATGCGCAAATGAATGATTCACTCCAGGAGTCAAACAAAAGATTTGTTCAAAATGACAGAATGACACATCACTGACATGACATGGAGTGCCAGAGTTGTATCAAAATCTGACTCCGTTACTAAATCTGACTCCCATCTCGCGTTCACGCACGTCACACAGCGCCTGCAGCTGTCACTGTTTACCAGAAACCTTTTATCGATCACTTCTTCTGCAATTGACAGCAAGAACGAACACAGAAGCCTTGACAAGTTGACAAGCAGCCCCTAAATGTGTTCAAAAGAATTAAAAACGCCAAAATGGGAGGAATTTATACCGCATTTCACAAGCGAAACCACCTCATATTCACTGATTAAAGTTCACTATTTATTACACGATGGTCTCTTCTTTACATTTACGTTATAACACATTTAGCTCTGCATTCTGCTCTGTTATAATGACTGTCTACATTTATATGCTTAACCAGCATTTCATCACACCACTCTGAAACTACTTCGCTACTTCTCATATCTATAGGTAAATCATTTTCATCTGCTTATTTAATATTTAGCAAAACAAGTTTAATCAAAACAAAAGCGAAAGTGTTGGATTTTTTACATTCAGTGAAAGATTTATCTTTAGAGATCTTGGATATATTCACTGTTTAATAATTGTGCACAATACAAGTAAATGTGTAACTAAAAGAACATTTGCAGCTGATTTAATTGTGGTTTATAAATCACGCAACTGTGGTATACTGGATTACTTATAACAACACTGTAATTCTCAAATCAAATGAGTAGCAGCTTGGACCTGGAAACAGTATAGGCTGATTTTTACATCTGCGTCAAACGCCGGCGTATGGTACGGCGCTGACGCATAGCCCTTCGCCGTGGCCGTTACTGATGTGCACCTCTCAAAAAATGTAACTACACGTCGCAACAACACGTAGCGCAAACTCTGTGATTGGTCAGCTTGGTAGCGCAGACGAGTCTGGGCGGGACCGAGAGCCGCGCGAATGGCGCGAACCCAATGTAGCGATTGTTTACTAGTGTGGAGTCCCGTGAAGGAGCTCCGGATGTAAAGTTTTGTTTTGTGTTTACCTCATAGTTAAAGTTGTTGCACGTCCGCCGGTTTCTACCTCAAAATGAGATTAAATTTATTAATCCGGGGTCGCCACAGCGGAATGAACCGCCAACTTATTTAGCACATTTTTACACAGCGGATGCCCTTCCAGCCACAACCCATCTCTGGGAAACATCCACACACATTCACACACACACTCATACACTACTGACAATTTAGCCTACCCAATTCACCGGTACCACATGTCTTTGGACTGTGGGGGAAAATCGGAGCACACGGAGGAAACTCCACACAGAAACGCCAACTGAGCCGAGGCTCGAACCAGCAACCCAGCATCCTTCTGTTTACAGCACTACCTACTTCGCCCTTGTGGCAGATATATAATATCAAAATAATATAATAAGTATAAAACATAATATAATAAGTGTAGTGACTCCACACACGGTAGGGAAAGTAATTGAAAAAATTGACCTGGAAAATTTTGATTGAATATAGGTTCTGAAAAGAGCTGCACGATTAATCGAAAAAAAGATCGTAATCTCGATTCGACCCCCTAGACGATATTAATCCAGCATTTCTAAGATTCTGCCAATCATATTTTCAAGTTCAGGAGAGAAGCAATGCGGCTACACGAGAGAGAGAGAGAGAGAGAGAGAGAGAGTTTTAATATTATTGCCATTTCAGCTTCTATGGCTATGTCATGGCAAAAAGAAAAAAGATCAAGTAAAAATATTCTAACAATTAAAAGTCATCAACAGCAATAAATAATGTACAAGGTAAAATATATAAATAATAATAATAATGATAATATATAAGATAAAAAATCTAAAACAGTTTTTTAAGATTTCCTTTTGATAAAAATTCTACAACTTTAGATGGATTCACGTTCAAAAATATTTCCTTTAAAGTCTCCAGATAAATATTGTTGTCTGATAACATAAAAAATATGGCATTCCACAAGAATATGTATAACTGTTTGGTGGCGGCTGCACGAGTCTCTTTATTGTTTCACATACATTGCTCAGCGACATGATCACATCCAAATGATGTTGAAAGAGTCACATGCTGTATTTATAAGGTATAATTCACCTGTAAATGTCATTTTTGTTTTCATATTATGATGTATTCGTGGCTGCGAAATTACACGTGACGAGCTGCTGACCGTGACCCGTTACCACAAAGAGGGCGTGCGCTCGCGCGTCTACTTTAGTGAACAGAGTCTGCATAGGCTGTGAATAACAGGTAATAAAGTTGTAAAAATATTTAGTTCGTGGCACAGAGTGATTGTTTGAGAGCCGCTCGAAGTATGACCCGCACTTAAGTGAAAATGAAAGCGAAAGTGAGCACATCATTTAAATAATCAAATCGCATTTTAGAGTAATGACTGCAACAAGCATTTGATGTTTTTTCTTTCATAGTGAACACAGATAAATGTTTACAGTGTCAGTATAACAACTCTAGCCTAGGGCTGGGCGATTTTTTTTAATTAATTTGAATTTACGTTTTGACGATTTAATTTTATATTAAATCGAGAAATCGCGATTTTTTAAATAAAAATATTTGGTCGCACACCAGAAGCGCCACTCGGGGACACGCAGCACCATGTAGCGGTATGGATTTTAGAATTCTAATCATAGGTTTCTATACATACACCAGCACCGCCCAGCCAAGATTCAGGACGCAGTTCATATTTCAGCCGCGCCACAGAGCGCCATCTGATTTGTTTTATGTTTAATTGCATGCAAATGCGTGTGTCTGGTGTGTGATACTTTAAACTGTCATGTGCGCGCCGTGTCACGCTTTAATCATGGTAGTGACGGACTGAACACAGAGACTGAACAGCCTAATTTAACCCAATGCATGAAATTGTGGGCATGCATCGCAGAGCTGCTCCAAATACAACAAATAAAAGCATTTAAGTGTCTTATGTTGCGTATTTTTCTTTTGTTTATACCTTTGCATCACACGCGCTTTGGTCCACTCTCTCACGCTACTCCAGCACTGCCTGACGAGGGGATTTACATTCAGATTAATGCAGCAAGTAAAATCCTACAGGACTTCACGCTTTACAAAGTCACGTCTGTGTGGATTGTCAAGACATATTCCCTCATCAAGTCGATAAACTCGATCTCAACATGTAGGAAGGACTTAAAACCCTGCCATGTGAAAAACCGCAGCGATCGTTTGGTTTGAACACGAGCAGAGGTGAGGGCCTGTAGCAGTGAAAATGAAAGTACCCGCCCCCATGACGTCATTTAGCGGACCTGGTTGAAAACCAGACAGATCAGGCAGCATAATACAGAGAGTGGAGCAAAGCGCATCAAATGATCGGTATTTAAAAGGGGGAAAAAGAAAAATAGATTAAATGAATTATTTTATATTAGACACACATCTGGAGCTTGTATTTGCTCCTGCTATACGTCCACAACTTCACACATTGGGTTAAATTAGGCTTTACAGTTTCCATGTTCAGTTCTTCCACTGTATCTTTTTAAGAAAAAGGCAGCAGCTTTACAACCTGTCATTCAATCAGAAGAAGACAAAGTCAAAGGCTGACAGCCAATCTTTCCTAGACTCAGCAAAACTTGCAAAAAAATACCCCTGTATTCCTGCAACTGCAATATTTACACAAATTTAAATCTTCTGCAACGATATTTAACTCGTGAATTTGTTTTACATTTATTTACACCTTGATGACCAATTTATGTAAAGCATGGCCATTAAAAATACAATGTTCCTTAACCAGATGGTTTTTCAAGTTACTTATAAAGAGAATGTTACTTCAGTCATGTTGTTGTTATGTATTAAGTTGACTAGTTACACAATAAAAAAAAATCATATTAAATAAAAAAATATATAAAAATTTAGTAAAACTTTATAAAAAACCTTGATTTTTTTTTTGCCATATCGCCCAGCCCTACTATAGCCTATATATATTGAATATAATGCAAGAGGGAATCTGATAATGACAAATGTCTGATTGAACCAGTGAATAAAATGGTCTAATAATGTTGTCAATGACAGATTGCAAGCATACATCTCAAACATAATAATTCAACATCAGAATTATTATAAGTAGAATAGAATAATTTATCGAAACCAGTAGACCTAAACATGATATTAATGTCGCCATATTTACCATATGTTTGAGAAAAAACTAAAATTGCTGACCTTTGAACCTTTATTTTACATGTACAGAATCGTAAGAAAATCGTGATCTTTATTTTAAGCAAAAAAAATAAAAAATTGCGATTCTCATTTTAGCCAGAATCGTGCAGCTCTAGTTCTGAATGTCGATTCCGATTATTCGCCCAGCACTAGGCATCACCATCAGCACTGATTCAGCATTAACTCATCTGTGTTAAACTGGGAGCAGCAATATTCCTCTTTTCAATCCTTTAATTTTGCTCCTTTTGCGAGGCACATCTGTAGTTGCACGTGTTACCGCCGACGAGAAAACAAATACATGTTGCACATAGACATGGGCCGGTATAAGATTCAAAGGGGATTGATAACCTTGGATAAAAATATCACTGTATTGTGACCAAACCGACCAATCACAAAAGCGTGTGCTACTTGTTGTTGTGACGAATATGTACATTTTGTTGACTGGTGTGCGGGTATGTGAAGGCTGCGCTGGACTGTACATGTGCCCAACGCAAATATAATATATGATCTCAAAATAATAAAATAAGTATAAATGATAATATAATAAGTGTAGTTCAGCCTTAACAGAGCGAGGTCACATGACTCAACTCACGGTAGGGAAAGTCATTGATTATCACAGTATTGTGAATACTGCTTTAAAATATATTCTTGTTAAATGTCTGGGTAAAAAAACAACAATTGTTCCCCCTTTGAAAACATTTTATATTTTATTTGTCTAAAGATTAAAAATTTTTGGAGCAGTGAACATGTGAAGCTAAATAATTAAAATGAATCACTGACTTCTGCTGTCTTCATCAAATCTTACACATACCCTGAGAACGGTATTACAGGAAATCTCAAAACCTTGACTTTTGCAAAGCGCGGTATACCTTGAAAACAATTATCATCCCATGCCTAAGTTGCACATTTTTGCAGCAAAACTTAATAATACAAAATAAAAACATGATACATTTTAACCGTTTAACTTATACCATAATTATTTGCTGTGCAAAATGGATAAACCACTGACCAAACTTTAATTCCTGCTCAAAATGATAATAAAATGAACCAGAAAAGCACAACGAGCTGCTGACTATATATTTAGTGAATTACGGCTTATTATTATACAAATAACTTTTACAGCAAATTAATAAATAATTATTTTTAGCTCATCAATTTTAAACACAAAACAATGCATTATCCATTAGTTCATGTATTTAAATGTAAATCATTATTAATCATAGTTCAACATTTACTAATGTCTTAATAAAATCCAGAGCTGTGTTTGTTAACATTAGTTAATAAACAGAGATTTAACATGAACTAATGTTGTTTAACTTAATGTTGACAAAGATAAATACCGTAATGAATACATTATAAAATTATTTTAATTACCCATAACTCTGCACTTTTGATTAACAGAATTACATGACTAGCATATTAAAAATACTACAGTAATTTATAGTAAATACTAAAGTGTTTTTCAACCATACTATAATAAAGTTTACTTATTTATTATAGTATTTACAAACTGCATTACTGAAAGCTGCAGCAGTAACTATGGAGAAAAGAGAAAAAGCTCTGCATACTGTAGTAAACATGAGTTTTTACTGCAGTAAACTGTGCTGTGTTGTAATATAGTTGTTGTAAATGTAGTACAGTGTTGGTGTTTTGTGTTTATACTACACTATTTCCTATAAATGACTACAGTATTTGTCCATGAGGGTGAAATGAGTGAACACAGCATTTCATTTGCCGCTAATAAAGATCAGACAAATCCTGAAGTATAAGAATGTGTGAAAGTAAACAGGAATCATAACCTGTGCTTTTACCGCGAGAAGCTTTTACATCGAGAGCTTTAATAAAGAGGTTAGTGGCCAAAACCAAGCAAAAACAAAGCTGAAAACCGACACTGAAGAGGAACACAGCCGAGAGAAAAACACTTGAATATTGAGAAAGTAGGAATCTGAACTAATAAATAAGGAGAGAAACACAACGTTACCTGTTTACATATGAACACGGTAAAAGTCCGCTATTCCTGATCGCTTTCACAGAGGAATTGACAGTCAAGAGCCAGGATATAATGAAGAAAGGCAGGAGTTGTGTCGTGTTCGCTAAATAATCTCTCTAGAGTTGATAAAAGCTGAAGTGTAGCCTCTTTGTTTCTTCTCATCTTCAACACGAGTTTAATGTTGCTTGTTCTGAGCTTTTCCTCCAGCGCCTCCGCTATCAGTGTGCTGTGTACTACTGCCATCTAGAGGACAATCACAGCAACAGCGACTTACAGCGGTAAGTTAAAAGACCAAGAAAACACACTAATGTATATGCACAAATATAATAATGTACAGCTTCCTATTAACATTATAAATATAAAATATAGATGTGTGAGGGGTGAACCCATATATGCTGAGCACTGTATACAGTTGAAGTCAAAATTATTCACCCTCCTGTCAATTTCTTTTTCAAATATTACCCAAATGATGTTTAACACATTCAGGAATTTTTCAAAGTATTTGCTATAATATTTTTTCTTCTGGTGAAAGTCTTACTTGTTTTATATTAGCTAAAAGCAGTTTTTAGGTTTTGAAACCATTTAAGGTCAAGATTATTAGCCCCTCTAAGCAATATATATATATATATATATATATATATATATATATATATATATATATATATATATATATATATATATTTGATTTTCTACAGAACAAACTATTATTATACAATGATTTGCCTAATTACCCCAACTTGCCGAATTAACCTAGTTCAGCCTTTAAATGTCACTTTAAGCTGAAAACTAGTATCTTGAAAAATATCTAGTCAAATATTATGTACTGTCATCATGACAGATAGATACAAATAAATTGTAGGGATGCACCGATATGAATTTTTTGCTGATACTGATAACTTCTCAGACTTGGAGGCAGATAGCTGTTATATATATATATATATATATATATATATATATATATATATATATATATATATATATACACATATATATACATATACACACACACACACAAATATATATATATATGTATATATAGGCTGATAATTATAAATTTCAAAATATTATATTTTCATGCAGCAAACTTCATAAAAGATTGAACTGCTAGTCTAAACTCAACGCAAAAACAAAACAACACTATAACTTCACATTTGCAAGGTGATCATAGACCTATATTCATGATTTCACATAATTCAACATGCAAACAATACGTTATTTCCTTTTCTTCATATCAAATAACATGCAACTTGACTGCTGCATAAAAATAATAGGTTAAATAACAAAATGGGATTTAATCAACAAGCAAGTTAAATATATTTAAATAAGATGAAAATTAAAGGGTTAAAGACTGAAACCAGCTCAAATGTTCTTGAATAAAACGTGTTAAGGCTGATTTATACTTCTGCGTCAAACGCCGGCGTATGGTACGGCGCTGACACATAGCCCTTCGCCGTGGCCATCGGCGTGGCTGACGTGCACCTCTCAAAAAATGTAACTACACGTCGCAACGACGCGTAGCGCAAGCTCTGTGATTGGTCGGCTTGGTAGCGCTGACGAGTCTTGGCGGGACCGAGAGCCACGCGAATGGCGCAAGCCCGATGGAGCGATTGTTTACAAGTGTGGAGTCCCGTGAAGGAGCTCCGGATGGAAAGTTTTGTTTTGTGTTTACCTCATAGTTAAAGTTGTTGCACGTCCGCCGGTTCCTGCCTCAAAATGAGCGAGTTTGAGCCACTTGTACATCCAGGAAGTGTTCAGGAAACGCAAAACAGCAGTGAAGAAACTCGACACAGAGGAACATTTACACCTCACTGCCAAATAGCGTTTCGAAAGTGTTAATGCAGACCAACAGAGACAGCGCGCAGAAGTACAAATGCACAGCTACGCGCGTTGCATGCGCCGTGGGTTACGCCGGTCACTTGACGCAGAAGTATAAACCAGGCTTTACAGTGATGTACATATATACAATGTCATGTCCGAAAAAGCCTTTTTTAGAGATGTTTTGACCGTTCAGAGCCACCGTACAAGCGAAGAGCTAAAACACAGATAGTATTACTTTAGAAAATGCTACATAAATTCATCCTATTAGGCGTTTCACTCTTTTGAACACATTTAGCTGCAGTGCTTGTCAGTCAGACAGCGCTTCTGTTTCGTTCTTGCTGTCAATTGCGGGAAAAATGACAGATGAAAAGTTTATGATAAACCGCTGAAAGTTGCACTCAACTGCAGGCGGAGCAGCTAAGCCATGAGCTCAGATGACTTTATGACAAACACAGAGCATAATATAAAGACAGAATGTGCGGCGAGTTGAGAGCCCCTATGCTCGATTCAGTGACCGGCACACCGCATCTCACCCCCGTGCTGCTCTGAAGGCTGTCAGATCAGTGTGTGTGTGTGCGGTGACAGCTCTCACGGGCGCTCGCTATAATCAATACGAATATTCCGATCCAACTGAATACAATCTTACATCAACAACACATGGCAAGCAATGCGATGATAATAACAAATAATCATAGTAGATTACGAACAACCAAACGAGTTGTTTAGCACGTGTGCATCTCTGCTGTTATGTTTACACATGTAATATTTTTCCAGAGGTGATTTAAATAAAAATACACAACGCCACTCAAATCAAACAAGTCTACAATGATGAGGAAGATGGTTACTCACGGAGTTATTAATGCACGGCAATACCACATGAAGAAAGGACGGACTTTGAAGGAATAAACAATGTGAGGAGAGATCCATTGTAGTGCACTTGACAAGTCTGGACATGTTCCCGCCCACGCGTACGTGGCAGGCAGGTCTGTACAATTACCTAATTAATCGGCTTAAAGATATCGGCCTTAATTAGAAATGGACATTTAGACGTGGCGTGACCGCAGTATAAACTCGCACGTCTTCAGCCATTATTCCAACATAGACGCACACTCGAACTGAAAACAGGAGACTCGTCTCTATAGCAACCTCTCGTGACGCAACCTCTCCAATGCGGCGCCTCGCGATATGTCACATGATTCATATTTATTATCAATTTACAGTAATAGAGGAACTCCGCCAAATGTAGCGAAGAGTAATGATTTCTCTCTAATTATTTACGCGAGTAAAAGTACACATCTTTAGTTGTATTCAAAAAGTACACGTTACCCAACAACTTTACTCAATTAAATGTAATTCGTAACTACTCACCTCTGCATTTGCACTTATGTTAGTCTGTTTCTTCTTATCCTGAGATCTCTATAACCCTGGACCCGGCCCGTATCCCGAGCAGATGTTGTGGTGGTCATGGAGGAGTGGAGAGGGTGAGACTGATTCCTGAAAGGCATTGACTCTATGGGCTTGCCTGAACACCCACCAGGTTCTCCACAATGGAGGTCCAGCGTTCTCAAGTCTCCAGCACCAAGACTGCAGCTCTGCACAAGACGTTTGGCCAGAAGAGAACTGGTCGTGCCCACTTGAGCCTGTTTTTTGTGGAGTTGCGCATTGGAGTTGCTCTTCACGGTTCAGTGTTTCGGCTTTCAGCAGTGACATTTATTTTACACTAAACTGATCTTCAGCTGTGAAAACTGGACTGAAGCAGTATCAGTTCACTGGAACTTCATTTAGGTAAGGCTGCTATGAAAATAAAACTGACAAATTAATGGACTGATGATTGTCTGAAACGCTTCCCACACTGAGAACATGTGAATGCTTTATCTTCAGTGCGAGTCTTTTTGCATGCCAAACTCTTTCCACACTTCTTCACTATACCTGAAATAAAAGTAGGATTGCATTAAATTAATTTATTAAAATTTGCACAGGCACTTTTCTTTAAAAACAGACGAAACTTTGACTATTCTAACAGAAGTTAACACCTAAAACAAACACACAAACACAATCATACAGGTTGTAGAGAGGAGTAGAGGAAGAGTTTGAGAGAGTTTAATGATGCAAGTCACAGGACTTGTAAGACCTTTTAAACAAACCAAAAATAATCAATTCAACCCTTCTATTGTTTCTTGTTACTTTACTCTATTGTTACTTTACAGGAATTCAGAATTAATCTGGAGACATTACCTGTGTTCCTTCTGTGATGTGCAGATCTCCCTTTGCCAAGCTGGGTTCCCACATGGGTTTCCTGATAGTTGGTCCGTTCTGGAGATCTGGAGATTCACGTTCAAGACGACAAAAGACTGCAGTCATGTTGACTTCTGGCTTTGCAGCACACTAAACTCAACTAGACTCTCAATGGAATAAAAAGTAACAGATGTGGAAGTTTGGCTGTCCTGTATCCCATCTTAGAGTCTGTGTTCGACGCGGCATACAACAACAACAACAACAGAAGAAACATGGAGGGGGAAAACATGGTCAGTGGTCGATGGCACAAGCCTTCATGCCCTGTGGGGAGATGAGTCAGTGGAGGACACCATATATAAACCATAGGCGCAAGCAGCGATGACTGCCCTTTCCCTCCTCCTCCGCCTCAAAATCATATTAAAGTTTGGCGAACTTGGCATCTTTCGCAGAGCTAAAAGCAAGACAATTTCTTCCATCGTGGCTAATGTGGTGCAGATGCTAGAACCCGCCTTTGCGCATGCGCGACATCGTAGATTGTATGGCAAATGTAAACAGAAGAATCAGATGTGGGTCTCAATTAAAAGAACGTGTAAACCGACAGACAAACAAATCAGATATGGGCAACTAAGCAGAATTGGCCATCAAGACCTGACAGTGTAAACGGGCCTAAAAGCATGTGGAAAGCAGGAGTGGTTTTGCCTTCTCTATTTGTCTGTGGTGGCTGTGCGTCTATATATGAAAGAATTGGCCCAGTGTGAATATATTTGATATTAGCAATAATTAAAAGTTTTACATCCTGAAAATTATTCAGATATTGCCGCTAATATTAAAACTATTACCCTACTTGGAGTGTGAGGGTGTGACTCAGCCCACACGCAATGTGTGCGCAGAAATCTGCACTGAATGACTAAACATTGCTGTCACTCTGATACAAGTTTTAATTACGGAAACAATTACAAAGCAATGCAGTGGTTGAGTATTCTGTGTTTGTCTGAGCTAATTAGTCTTACCGAAATATGAATATTCCTTACAAGCTGAAGCTGATCGGTCAATTCATGTTATGTGTTGCAGGATTCCTTTAACTGTGTGCATCTGGTCTGGAAGACCAGCGCTGAGTCTTCCAGACTAGAAGCCACGGATGCCGCACACCTCCAATTCACTGGGCCTTTTCCCCTTAGCAAAGAAACTTTCTAAAGACGTCTGTTTCCTGCTCATTTTGCTACTTGTGGATTAAATTTGGGAGCTCAAGTGACCGAGATGCAAGCGAGAGAATGCGGTAATTTTTCAAAATGAATGACCGTTCAGACTCAGATCATTAATTATTTCCGTTTTATTTATTATTTCTTGTGTAGCCCCATACTAATTGATCCATGGACCGGTAATGGTCTCAAGCCCGGTGGTTGAGGACTACCGACCAAAAGGGAAACAAAGCAGATATGCAGTCTTGTTAGACTATGGCGACTTTACACCTTCAAGGTTACAAGGTTTCTCTCTAGCGTGAATCCTTTTATGTGTTGTCAGGCTGAATAAATGACCGAATCTCTTGCCACAGTGTGAACACATGTAAGGTTTCTCTCCAGTGTGAGTCCTCTCATGTGCTTTCAGAATTCCCGACTGATTGAATCTCTTGTCGCAGTGTGAACACTTGTAAGGTTTCTCTCCAGTGTGAATTCTCTCATGTTTTTTTAAGATTCCTGACCGATTGAAACACTTGTCACAGTATGAACACTTGTACGGTTTCTCTCCGGTGTGAATCATCTTGTGTTTATTCAGGCTTCCTAACTGACTGAATCTCTTTTCACAGTGTGAACACTTGTAAGGTTTCTCTCCAGTGTGAGTCCTCTCATGTATTTTCAATTTTACAGCCGTAATAAAGGTCTTCTCACACACCAAGCAAATATAAACTCCCACACCGGTGTGGATCTTCTGATGATCTCTTAAACCATCTTCATGTCTGAAAGTCTTTCCACACACAGTGCATGAATAAGGCTTCCCCTCTGTATGAACTCGAAGGTGTTTCTTCAGCCCTGAAGCCCTCAAAAATGTTTTCCCGCACTGATCACATTGGTGTGTTTTCTCTCCAGTGTGGACCAACATGTGTCTACCAAAGTTTGATGAGTGTCTGAAACTCATCCCACAATGAGTGCATGTGAATGGTTTCTCTCCGGTGTGGATCATCATGTGATCACTGAGACTCTGTTTGTTAAAGAGACTTGTTCCACACTGAGTGCAGGTGACACACTTTTTGTCTTTTCTCTTCAGTGAGTTTTCTTTGATTTTCTCATGTGTCTCCTCCATCAGGCCTGAAATAAAATAAACAGACTGCCTTTAAAATTAATTATTTAAGAAAGTAAAAGTTTACCACCATTAAAGTTTCATTCATGATCACTTTTGGTGTATTTTTGTAAACTTCATTTCACAAGCAAGATACACTGATCTTCAATCATTCATTTTAAAACACTTGTCGTATAAAATCAACCGTATTACTATTTCATCATTACCTTTAGATGCTTTTACACATATTTGGACAATGCATTGATAATAATGTGTCACTTTTAAGTGGTGGATTTTAGGGCTGGGCAGTATATCGGGTTCTGGGGATATATCGATATGATTCCCCAATGTGATGTGATATTATCTAGTATCGTTCATGTTGATATGGTTTGAGGCCACACTTGCTCATTCTGCGAGGAAACAGACCACTCCAAGGTAGCACCCGAGCTCCACTTGCACAAATGTGCGCATGCGCAATGGAACGATTCACTCCAGGAGTCAAACAACAGATTTGTTCAAAATGAACGAATCATTCAGGAACGACTCATCACTGACGCGACATGGAGGAACATGCAGTGCCGGTGTTGTATCAAACTCTGCCTCCCCGAACAAATCTGACTCCCCCTCGCGTGCACGCACGTCACACAGCGCCTGCAGCTGTCACAGAGCCTTACCAGGAATCTTTTATCAATCATTTCTTCCGCAATTGACAGCAAGAGCAATTTTAGAAGCCTTGTCAGATTGACAAGCAGCACCTGAATGTGTTCAAAAGGTTTAAAAACGCCAAAATGGGAGGAATTTATACCGCATTTCAAAAGTGAAACCACCTCATAATCACTGAATGAACTTCAGTATTTATTACACGACGGTCTCTTCTTTATGTTATAACACATTTAGCTCTGCGTTCTGCTCTGTTATAATGACTGTCTACATTTATATGCTTAACCAGCATTTCATCACAGCACTCTGAAACTACTTCGCTACTTCTCATATCTATAGTCTATTCATTTTCATCTGCTTATTTAATATTTAGCAAAACAAGTTTAGTCAAAACAAAAGCGAAAGTGTAGGATTTTTTACATGGAGTGAAAGATTTATCTTTAGATATCTTTGATATGTGCACTTGGGCTGGGCGATATGGCAAAAAAAAAAAATCTACGTTTTTTTCTAATAAAGTTTGACCGATTCACAATTTCAATTATTTTTTTTATTGTGTTACTAGTCAACTTAAAACATTACAACAACATGACTGAAATAGCATTCTCTTTATAAGTAACTTGAAAAACCATCTGGTTAAGGAACCTTGTTCAACCATACTATAATAAAGTGCACTTATTTATTATAGTATTGTACAACTGTGTTACTGAAAGCTGCAGCAGTAACTGTGGTGAAATGAGAAAATGCTCTGCATACTGTAGTAAACATAAGTTGTAATATAGTTGTTGTAAACATACCTGTCAACCCTCCAGTTTTTCCCGTGATTCTCCCATATTTTACAGTTGTATCCCGTGAAGGTGTTTTCCCGTATTTTCAGTCTTTCTCTGACCAGCCGAGTCTCCCTATACGCAACCCATACCGCCGAACCACCAGGGGTCGCCCCTTGCTCCTAAACGTGTGTCTGTTCTGTCCTTTCGCATTGTTTAGGAATGAAAACACTTATAAAAATGGCGCAATTCCCTTTCTAGGGGCGAGGCAGTGGCGCAGCAGGTAGCGCTGTCGCCTCATAGCAAGAAGGTTTCCCCCAGAGTCCAAAGACATGTGGTACAGGTGAACTGGGTAGGCTAAAGCCTGATTTATACTTCTGCGTCAAACACCGGCGTATGCTACGGCGCTGACGCATAGCCCTTCGCCGTGGCCATCGCCGTCACTGACGTGCACCTCTCAAAAAATGTAACTACACGTCGCAACGACGCGTAGCATAAGCTCTGTGATTGGTCGGCTTGGTAGCGCTGACGAGTCTGGGCGGGACCGAGAGGCGCGCGAATGGCGCGACGCCGCGCGAGCGATTGTTTACAAGTGTGGAGTCCCGTGAAGGAGCTCCGGATGGAAAGTTTTGTTTTGTGTTTACCTCATAGTTAAAGTTGTTGCACGTCCGCCGGTTCCTGCCTCAAAATGAGCGAGTTTGAGCCACTTGTACATCCCGGAAGTGTTCAGGAAATGCAAAAAAGTAGCGAAGAAACTTGACACAGAGGAACATTTACACCTCACTGCCAACTAGCGTTTCGGAAGTGTTAATGCAGACCGGCAGAGACAGCGCGCAGAAGTATAAATGCACAGCCACGCGCGTTGCCTGCGCCGTGGGTTACGCCGGTCACCTGACGCAGAAGTATAAATCAGGCTTAAATTGTCCATAGTGTATGAGTGTGTGTGGATGTTTCCCAGAGATGGGTTACGGCTGGAAGGGCATCCACTGCGTAAAAACTTGCTGGATAAGTTGGCGGTTCATACCGCTGTGGCGACCCCGGATTAATAAAGGGACTAAGCCGACAAGAAAATGAATTAACAATTCCCTTTCTTTGATTACAGGTGCCGTCACCCATCCTATACAATCCTCAAAACAGTCATATAATGGTGCATGACGGTCAGCTGACATACTCCATAGGGATAAATAGCCACTGTAAAGACGTCGATCTTGGTGTTTTTTTTCAAACACAACTAATTTCGTCTTAAATGAGCATAAAAAGTTAGGAAAGCAGTCGAATGCTTTCATTATAATGTTAGATGTGTGCATTTTTAAAGTGACACCTCTTATTTAATGTAATAAAAAAATCTTAATAAATGAGAGATTCATTCGTTGCTCTTTAATCAGAATGTGTGAGTTATACAGTGGAGAAACGGCTAATGAGATTTGATAGCTTAATTCTATTTCATTATAATTGATATTAATTTAAATAAGCTGAACTGTTTGCTAATGTATTTGCTGCTAATTCATTCATTCATTTTCTTGTCGGCTTAGTCCTTTTATTAATCCGGGGTCGCCACAGTGGAATGAACCGCCAACTTATCCAGCAAGTTTTAATGCAGCGGATGCCCTTCCAGCCGCAACCCATCTCTGGGAAACATCCACACACACACACACACACATTTACACACACTCATACACTACGGACAATTTAGCCTACACAATTCACCTGTACCGCATGTCTTTGGACTGTGGGGGAAACCGGAGCACCCGGAGGAAACCCACACGAAGGCAGGGAGAACATGCAAACTCCACACAGAAACGCCAACTGTGCCGAGGTTCGAACCAGCAACCTTCTTGCTGTGAGGCGAAAGCACTACCTACCGCGCCACTGCCTCGCCTATTTGCTGCTTATGTATATTTATTTTTCTTTTGTTAATAATAGTTTTAAAACATATTACTGGCCATTTAACTGTTTATTTACAATGAAACAGCTCCAAATTAACATATTTAGTAATTTGGGGATTTTTTTAAGGGGGGCGGGTGTGTTGGGGGATCCCTTATTATGGTGGGCATATCCCTTATTTTCACATCCCAACGTTGACAGGTATGGTTGTAAATGTAGTACAGTGTTGGTGTTTTGTATTTCTACTACACTATTTCCTATAAATGACTCCAGGGGGGTATTCCAGAAAGCTGGATTAACTTACCATCTGCTAAAACCTAAACTCTCGGTTGATTTACCCAAAACCTGCTTACCGCGAGTATGTTGGTTCCAAAACAGGTGACAAGAGTTAGTTAAATCAACCTCCTGAAGATAACCACGGGTTAATGCGCGTGCACGGCACACACCTGAAGGCATTTTCAGTAGATCGCCGAATTCACGAGTCACCATAGAAAGTCACGGTGAGAAAAAAAGGGCAACGCACTTTACAGAGGCAGAGCTGGAGGTTTTAAACACAGAGATTACACATCTGCTTCAACGAAGGAAAGAAATATAGAATAAGAAATAGATAAGAAAATAAAAATAAATAATAAGAAAATTTATTAGTTCATTAAATTACACATGCCACCCTCCATTTTATTGTAATGATAAATTAAACTACTCTTTAACATCCTTTTTTAGTATGTTGTGTAACCATTCATGCATTTATTTTTCTTGCCATTAATTTCTTAAGGCCACAATATGTGTATTGACTAATAAGGCTTATAGAAATTGTAATCTTTCTGGAGCTAGAACTCTGTCCAAAGTCATTAAACACAGAAACATTATCATAAAAGGTAATATTTAATTACTGGAGCTCTTTATTTAACACTCTAGAATATTCTTTCTGTCATGCAGCTAATAGAAAGAGGCCTGTCTAACTGCTGTGTCCTATAATAAAGGCTTTTCAGTGGTTGAGTTTTTGACTTAAACCACACACTCTGTCACTGTTGTAAGTGATTGTTGTCAGATAGCTTTAGGTTCTTTTTATTTTGCATGCAGACGAAGTTCCTTCTGCCTCAACTAACAAGCAGTGTAAGAATTTTCTGCACTTTTCCATATTTGAATATTACTCTTGGATCACAAAATCTTTTATCTACATATTTAAATTCTAAAGTAGCTGTATAAGGTCCATCTTCAAAGATAAAGTCACATGAGCATCAACTTAAGGTGAGAAATGTATATGAAAAATATGTTACACGTTGAAAGGTGTGTGTATAAAGCAGTGTACAAAATCATTCATTTTATTTCAGGAAATGAAGAAATGAACAGACCAAACTATTTGATTTGATTAAACATAGTTTTTTGACTAATTATATTTTTTTAGCACTCTTCCATCTGTTTTGTCTGCTTGGGTCGCTGAGATTTCCTCTGGGTCAGGCTGCAGGTACGTGTCATCGTATAAGGCAGAAAAGGGTATCTTTTGTCCTCCAGCAAGTAACAATGTAGTGCCCAGTAATGATTCTATTTTATAATACAAATATAATAAAAATAAACATTGTGTTGAGCAACATTTGCTTTATAGTTTTTTTTAACTATATTTGTGTTATACACTTGAATCACTACTTCCTGAAAATCAGCCATTTAGCCTCAACATAGTGATGAGGTGGGGTGTGTGATGAGCTGGTAAGTGGAAGCAGTAATGAGTTTAATAGTTGAAACACCAAAAGATTAAGGATAGAAAATTAAGTTGTACCTGCACACTTATACTTTGGACAAATTTTATATTATCAGTGTCCTTTAGTGACTGATGGAGCTTTAAAATCGGCTGCAATTAATGCACACAATAGCATTTAGAAACCCTGAAAAAAAATGTAGGTGTGTGTGCGTGAATGTTTATATAAGAACGACGTCCTACATCTTAAATTAAAGATATATTTTCCTACAAAAGACAAAGCTGCCACTTATAATATTATACAGAAAAATGTGAGGGTGCAGAAGGAGAGAAAAAACACAAAATCTGTAAGTGAGATTCAAACTCACTCCATTGTGCGCTCGGTTGTTCTTTATCGAGGCACTGTCCACTACGCTATTGCCGTGCTCTGAATCATCTGTGTAATGATACGCAGTGATTTATGACCAAGGAACTGTACAAAAGTTTAAAAAACAGTTCAGTGCCAGGCATACTGTACAGGTGGTCCTACTGCCACATTGTACAGTTGCCTAAAATGCCCTGACGCGAATACAAAGAGCTGCACTGAATGTTTTTTATGGTAAGCGCAGACCCGCGGTTTGTCACATTTGATTTCAAAAAGGTTTGTTAAATACATTAACATTATAAATTTGGTTATGAAAAAAACTATGCACTTATAACCCTCTCACAACGAAAAAACTTGTATCTGTGTGTCCACATCCATAAATATTCTCATCAAAAGAGCACGCAATGCTCAGTAAACTCTCTGAAACAGACAAACTCTGGAACATAGCAACTTACTCTCTGAACATAACCTGCTCCGGAGCAGGTTATCTTCAGAGAGTAAGTTGCTATGGCTACTTAACATACCCAGAAGTTACCTCCGATTTTGGAACCAAAGTTGAGGTTATCCACCTACTTACTCTCAAACTTACCCGTGTATGTCACATAACCTGCTTTCTGGAATAGCCCCCAGTATTTGTCCATGAGGGTGAAATGAGTGAACACAGCATTTCATTTGCCGCTAATAAAGATCAGACAAATCCTGAAGTATAAGAATGTGTGAAAGTAAACAGGAATCATAACCTGTGCTTTTACCGCGAGAAGCTTTTACATCGAGAGCTTTAATAAAGAGGTTAGTGGCCAAAACCAAGCAAAAACAAAGCTGAAAACCGACACTGAAGAGGAACACAGCCGAGAGAAAAACACTGGAATATTGAGAAAGTAGGAATCTGAACTAATAAATAAGGAGAGAAACACAACGTTACCTGTTTACATATGAACACGGTAAAAGTCCGCTATTCCTGATCGCTTTCACAGAGGAATTGACAGTCAAGAGCCAGGATATAATGAAGAAAGGCAGGAGTTGTGTCGTGTTCGCTAAATAATCTCTCTAGAGTTGATAAAAGCTGAAGTGTAGCCTCTTTGTTTCTTCTCATCTTCAACACGAGTTTAATATTGCTTGTTCTGAGCTTTTCCTCCAGCGCCTCCGCTATCAGTGTGCTGTGTACTACTGCCATCTAGAGGACAATCACAGCAACAGCGACTTACAGCGGTAAGTTGTAAGACAAAGAAAACACACTAATGTATATGCACAAATAATAATAATGTAGTTTCCTATTTAAAATATTAATTTAAAATATAGATGTGTGAGGGGTGAGCTCATATATGCTGAGCACTGTATACAGTTGAAGTCAAAATTATTCACCCTCCTGTCAATTTATTTTCTTTTTTCAAATATTCGCCAAATGATGTTTTAACAGATTCAGGAATTTTTCACAGTATTTCCTTTATATATATATATATATTTGATTTTCTACAGAACAAACTATTATTATTCAATGATTTGCCTAATTACCCTAACTTGCAGAATTAACCTAGTTAAGCCTTCAAATGTCACTTTAAGCTGAATTGTAGTATCTTAAAAAATATCCAGTTAAATATTATGTACTGTCATCATGACAAAGATATGTAGGTATATAAATATTAACACACTTTTTTAAAATAATGTTGAATTACTTCAATGGTTAACAGTGTGAATGACTTATTTGCGCATGCCATGGCTAATCGGTTACTCCATTAAACAGCAGTTTCTTTAGTTATCCCATATAATAAGGTTCAACTGTGGATAATGTTGACACTTACCACCAGGCCCGGCCCTAACCAATTTGGCATCCTTGGTAAGATTTCAGGTGGCGCCCTGTCACATCGCAGTGAATTACACTGCTAGTGTATAGTCATAAGAAACTAAATAGCTTTTTGATCGACTACTACAAGCTGGGAAAATGTCAGATAAATATGGCAATGCAGTTAACGTTATCGCTAAATAGATCTGACATTTACACATTTGCTTGAGGAAGGAATGATGGGGGTAGTTACATTACTATTACTATTTTCCAAAACATCTAGGCCCTTCCATAACTTTAGCTGACGTAAAAACTAACAGATAGCACTATTGCTATGTATTGATTAGTCAACATTGGGATGTAAAAAATATGGGACAACAAATAGCTTCAAATGATAGAATACATAGCAAAGATTAGAAAATATTGACAATAAAATAAAAGGTTTAACCAATTAAAATCAATGGCTTATACAGAAATTAAATAAAGCTATATAATCTACTTTACTTTTAATTGTATTTGCATATTGATTAAAGTTACTATAGTTATTTAGTTTGATCACAGAGGTGTTAATGTGAGAATGCACAGATCCATAATGAAGCATTCGACTACTTTAGTAACTGTTTGTGCTCATTTAAGGGAAAATTAATTGTGCTTAAAATAAAACACGCAGGACAGAGCAAAAAAAAAAACAAAAAAAAAAAAGCGAAAAAAATAAGCACTTTTCCGACGGTCCCTTACTGAGAGCTCCACTCAGAGCGAGCTCTCCCGGTTAAACGCATATTGCGAGGGCTCAAACGGAGCAGTTGTCATAATGTCGAGCCAAAAAAAGAGAAAGACAGCTGTGAAACATAACCAGCTTTGTCTTTTTGTAGGAAACACACTTTAAATATTTTTAGGGTAAGAGGTTTTTGAGTTATTGTCGCCAGGGCCGGAGTGGGACTCCTTTTCAGCCCTGGAGTTTCAAGCCTTAGACCGGCCCACCTCAGTTCATGAATGACTATATTAAAATAAGGTCATTCCAATTCAGTTTCTAATTATACGATCACGTCTTTTTTTGAGAAAACAGCTTCTTTAGAACTTCAAATGTTCAACAACCCTTACAGTATTATGTCTTAACAATAAAAATGAAAAACAAAACAAACATACTCAGACGAGGATCAAACCCAGGTTGGCAGCGTTGTAATTTAACATGCTAACCACTGGACCACAATAGTTGTATAGTGAGAGGTGACACATCTGAGTTATATAATCATTATGAAAAGAGCACAGCTGCGGTTATATAATGAATAAGAAGGCTGTGGTCAAGTAAATAAATAAATTAATTTAAAAAGTCTGACTGCTGAGAGCAACAGATTCTGGAGCTAGGGACAACGGCCTTCGCGGCCAAAAAAACGGACCGGCCCACCGGGAATTCTCCTCCCGATTAGCCAATCCGGGCCTGATTGTCGCTATAACTGAATGTGTCAGGAATATCGAAAACAAAACCAACTTAACCTCGCTCATTTCTAGCGCCCCCCCCCTGGATTAACAGCGCCCTTAGCATTTGCCTATGCTGCCTATGCCACGGGCCGGCCCAGCTTACCACTACATGTTCTTCAGGTTGGAGCTGTACTTCATGTATGTGTTGTGAAGTCAGTTCAGTTCTATGTACAGCGTGCATCACATTATCAAACTATTTTTGTTGACATCTTTGAGTGAAAACAGACTCAATTTGAGGCCGCGGGTGGCCTGGTCCAGTAAACTCACTGCACAGACAGCCTGGGGTCTGTTCTTCGTACCTCGCTTAAATGATCTAAGATGATTTGGTAGATCCTGGATCTTTTAATCTTGATAACTGATCTCTCGCTAATTTGGTTCTTCAAACAAGTTCGCGAATCAGATTACAATGTTTGGATAAACTGATCTGAGATCGCTGCGTGTGTTGTGAAGGACAGATCTATCGATCCTCGAAATCATGATCAGCAATGCAACGATTGGCTGACGGCACAGCAGCGTAATGACATCATCTGATTAATATTCAATTATCCATGTGAGCAAAATTACATCAAATTAGCAGTAAACGGTTTGTTAAATATGACACGCAATAACCTTCCACATTTGTTGTGAGCTGCAGGCTTTACACTTTCATGTGTCAAGAGTATTCATCATGTATTTCAATGCATATCAATGTATTTAGTTCTATATTTAGAAAATATTTTCTTTATTATAGTAGCCGTTTTTTAATCGGTGTAAAGAATAACTGTTGTTTACAAAAGCATTTTGATATTGGTAAAGGCGTCTGCAACTTTTGTGAAGCATCAAATCACTAGCATATTAATTGTCAAAACTTGTTCATGACTGCATAAATGTATTATTGCTTTAAAAAAGTCACATATTGTGCATGTTTATTATACACAATTTGTACTAAGCGATCTAAAAAGTTCCTATCAATAAGTTTTCTCTGTGCACCACCAGGTGGCAGTCTTTGTACTTTCATTTTGAGAGTGCAGATTGCATAAGTTTTATTAATCTATATAACTTTATTTATTTTATTAATAACTATAACTTTATATAGTTTAAAAAATATTTACTCTTTTCCCAAGTGTATATGACTACTACTGTAAGAAAATATCAGAATTCGGAACATACTTTCTGTATTATCTTTGCTTGAACTGAGCTGATCTAATCCTATTTATATGAATTGAACCTGCTCTCGATCAGGTTTAAGCTAGCAGAACTGTTGCTATGACAACAACTCTCGGATCAGCTTTGAAGAACGAAACGATCCTGGATCGTGTCGAATCGTCAATATCCAAATCCAGCTAACTGAGTAATCCATGTACGAAGAATGGATCCCTGGCCTTACTTCTCGGAACTGCAGATGGCAACATGGCGTGACCACACTATAAACTTGTACGACTTCAGCCATCATTCCAACATAGACGCGTCTCTATAGCCACTTTCGCAACACAACCTCTCCAATGCCTCGCGATATTTGTCATACAAATCATATTTATTATCATTTGACAGCGGAGGAACGCCGCCAAATGTAGCAAAGTAAGAGTAATGATTTCTTTCTAATAATTTGCTTTAAAGTAAAAGTAGACATCTTTAAATGTACTCAAAAAAAGTACACGTTACCCAACAACTTTACTCAAGTAAATGTCATTCGTTACTACCCACCTCTGCATCTGCGCTTATGTTAGTCTGTTTCTCCTTATCCCAAAATCTTTATAACCCTGGACCCGGCACTGTCCCGAGCAGATGTTGTGGTGGTCATGGAGAGAGTGAGACTGATTCCTGAAAGGCATTGACCCTGTAGGCTCAACTGAACACCCGTCGTTGACCTACTCAAACCTGCAGCTTTTGGCCAGAGGAGAACTGGTCGTGCCCAGTTGAGATTGTTTATTCTCCAGGATTTTTCCTTCTCTTTCGTCTGTTGGTGAAGTTTGTTCCTCACCACCGTCCTGCTTGGTTTGGGACTTGTGGAGCTGCACATCCGTTCACTGTTCAGTGTTTCGGCTTTCAGCAGTGACATTTATTTACATTAAACTGATCTTCAGCTGTGAAAACTGGACTGAAGCAGTATCAGAACTCAATTTATTTTAAGCTCCAATGATATTTTGACAATCTACACCACAGGTGTCAAACTCAGTTCCAAAAGGGCCGCAGCTCTGCAGTTTAGTTCCAACCCTAATGAAACACACCTGACCAAACTAATTGAGTCCTTCAGGCTTGTTTGAAACCTACAGGTAAGTGTGTTGGAGCAGGGTTGGAACTAAACTGTGCTGGGCTTCGGCCCTCCAGGAATTGAGTTTGACACCCCTGATCTAGAGAAGTAAAAGTGAACTAAATTATTGGACTGATGACTGTCTGAAACTCTTCCCACACCGAGATCATGTGAATGCTTACTCTCCAGTGTGAATCCTCATGCGAGTCTTTTTGCATACCAATCTCTTTCCACACTGAGTGCAGGTAAAACCTCTTTTGTTTTCTCCCACAGATCTGAAATAAAAGTAGGATTGCATTTAAATTAAATGATTAAAATATGCACAGGCACTTTTCTTTAAAAACAGACTAAACTTTGCCTATTCTAACAGAAGTTAACACCTAAAACAAACACACAAACACAATCATACAGGTTGTAGAGAGGAGTAAAGGAAGAGTTTGAGAGAGTTTAATAATGCAAGTCACAGGATTTGTCAGACCTTTTAACCGAACCAGAAATGATAAACTCAACCCTTCTATTGTTTCTTCAGGCTTACATATAATTTACAGCAATTCAGTATTAATCTGGAGGCATTACCTGTGTTTCTTCTGTGATGTGGAGATCTTCCTCTGCCAAGCTGGGCTCCCACATGGGTTCCCTGTTGGTTGGTCCGTTGTTCACGTGAGGCTAGAAGTCTGGAGATTCACGTTCAAGACGACAAAAGACTGCAGTCATGTTGACCTCTGGCTTCGCAGCACACTAAACTTAGACTCTCAATGGAAGGAAAAGTAACAGATGTGGAAGTTTGGCTGTCCTGTTATCCCATCTTAGGGTCTGCGCCTGCTTGCTGGACCTAAAGAAGATCTTGAGCTGTCCTGAGCTTGAATGCACTGCACTCTACTACTACCGCTGAGTCATTTGGTGTATGGTGCATTTGGCCATGCAAACTTTAACTACTTTCTCTAAAATATTAAAGTGTTTGTTACAGCGAATTCCTTGTTGATTTCGCTGTCCCCAGCAGGTAATGTTTTTAGACGCAGGACACTTGCTTGAATTTTGATCCATTTTTATTCTTGCTTCCAAAACATGTTCCAAAACAAACAACTTACAATAAAATTCTCAATGTCCTCCAATTGAGCGTTTGAAAACTGTAGCTGCGTCCCAAAGGGCACACTATACACTATGCACTCATGCACTATGTACTTATGCACTTCCACACTCAACAGGAAAGTATATGTATGTAGTGTTGTCCCAAATGGCACACTAATGTTTTTTTACTAAGCGGAAATTCAAACTGTTTCCCTGATGACGTTTGACGGTTGCCAAATCATTGAAATAAACGACCGAATTATCAAATAAAACCTGCCGTGAGTATTGCCGCATTCACCATCGGGAGGCGCTATAATCACTCTCGTAGGAGAATTTTGCTTTCACCATCCAAAATAAATAAAGTTATTCAACATGTGCGTCTGATAGCTCCGCCCCTTCCGCTACGTAAGCAAACCTGCGGTCGTTGAGTGCGTGAAGTGTCCATCATTACACACTTCATTTTAGCGGCTGAATGAGTGCATCATCCGGGTAATTGAAGTGCTCTTATTATTTTTAGAGTTTTCAGTGTGAACACACTACTTACACTATTTATACTACAAAATGGCGTAGAAAAGTGCATAAGTATGCGATTTGGGACGCAGCTTGTGTCTCTCCCCACTGGCATGCTTCTTGCTGATTAGGTTCAGCTGATATTGGCTTTCCTACAGTGCAGTGACTAGTATGCCCCATAGGTGGCAGCACAACAGCTGGCAAAAAGTAGGCCAAAAATAATACAAAATAAAATAAATTAAATACATTACTTTCTTGCTAATTCAGGGCTCCGACATCCGGCCCCTGATTGGGGATTCCACAATCATAACAATATTTTCAAATCTTAAGGAGCCAAATATAATTCTACAAAGTTACAATTTACATCAAATTTACATTGTAAAGAAAAACAATAATAATAATTCTAAACTAGAAAATTATGTAGCTCATAATAGAGGTAAACATTTAATTTTCTTATTGATTTACATTTTCATACTATGAACCTTTCAATAGCCGCGTTTCCACTATCGCGCCTAAAGCGAGCGAGCCAGGGCGAGCCAAGGCCAGTGGGGTTTCCACTGTCACTTCCGGGGCCTAATCGGGCCAAAGCGGGGCTTTCTTGGGGCCAGCGGCCGGCCTTTTTCGGCCCGCCGAATACCTTGGGCCAAGGAGGGCCAGCTGGGGCTTCGGGGCGGAGTGAAAGGAGAGGCGGGCAGTTTTCTGATGAGTACATGCGCCAAACACAAATAAAGAAATAAGGGAAAGAAAACATCTAGCCTTAGTCTGGGGTCTTTTTGCGTATGATCACCCTTATGTTTCCCTTTTAAATGTAAGGCTGCTGCATAAAATAATAAAGTAGTTTTAATTTATAGTGACGTTCTTTGCTGCGTCCTCCTTTATGTTTCAATAACGCTAAATAATCTTTACACCATATTAAAGACACAGCAGACAGTAAAGGTTTTCGAGAGTTTTTGTCAAGTTTAAAATGTTTGTTTGTTTGTGCGCGTTTAGATGCCTGTATGTGTGTGTGAGACCGGGCAAAAGCGCTCCTTCACAGCTCTGTTATGCCGCGAGCGGCTTTTTTCTTTATTTATTTTGGAGATAATACACATACAAATACAACAGAAAGTAATAAACTTAACAAAATACGTGCCCACTTTCGCAGACTTTAAACAATATATTGTCATATCTTGATAAAATAGCCTAAGCTTTAATGAAATATAATTTAAAGAATTACAAATATCGGATATATATAAAATCACATTAAATAAATTAACCAATATAAAATAAACAAAAGCTAGCTACAACAATGTAGGTAGCCTATATCCAATACATGAATCAAACCGTTTTAAAGCCACATATAGCCTAACTTTCATTTTACAAAGACCTGTCTGACAAAAAAAAAAAAGATTTTCGATAATTTCTAAAAACAATAAACACCGGAGAAGGTTTGAAATATTTATATAAAGTAAATATTTATATAAGTAAATATTTATAAAGTATTTGGATACGATGATATTAATCAAATCGCGCAAACAGAGCATTATTTGGGTGAGTGAAAGCAGAATCTCCTATACCTTTTTTTCTGTCACTCAGTCCTGCGCAGCGCTCGCTGCTTTAAACGCATCGGGGGAAAGTCCAAACACAAAATGTGTTCTATATCCTCAAACAACTGTTTATGTTTTTATATGACGTGGTTAAATTTATAAATGAAACTTTAAATGAGGAGTTTTAGTGAATAGCTGCCGAGCGCAACAAATATGGCTATATTTTATTAGGCTACTCGCTCTTGTGCTGAAAACTTAACACGACTTCTATCAACACGAGGATGTTAAAAAATACATGCCATGTCGAGTTATAAAGGAGAATTTCTGTGGCTTTATATTATGGATGTGAGCTCTCTGTGTTGGGTCCCTGCGTTAGTGGCGAGAGCACTCCATGCACAATGCAGTCGGTCGGCGAGTAAACAAATGTAATGAATGGAAATACACAGGTCTGTGCGTATAGACATTTCATGTACTGCTGTACAGTAACGTGTCATTTGTTTGTTTCGGTTGTCTTCATTTTAATGGTTTCGTTTCGTGATGACTCTATGGTGTGCTTTATCTGCCTCATTCCCGCTGAAGTGTGCGGGTTGTGTGACGTTTGATTCGGGGACGTTCTGTGGGCGGTGTTTGCGTGACGCGCTGTGAGCTTTAGCCCGACAGTGGAAACGCGACATGATTTCAGCCTCATTTCTCAACCTCCCGGGCTATTGGCCCGCCCCGGCCCGATTAAAGCCCTGGCTCGCACTGGCCCGATAGTGGAAATGCGGCTAATCAGTCTTTACTGTCTATTTATTAGATTCTTCAGCCAACAGGCACAGTTTATGGATAGGTCTTTGAAGTGTACCTGTTTTGGTTTTCACTATAGCAACTCTTACAAGACCTTGGCTATCCGGTAGAGTCTTTAGGATCCTTCCCATTAACCATGAATTTCTTGGAGCAGTGTCATCAACTATGAGTACCAAGTCTCCGGGAAAGAAATTGTTCTTTATTCGTTGCCACTTACTTCTCTTCTGCATTAACAGAAGGTATTCTTTAATCCAGCGTTTCCAGAAAAGATCAGCAATATATTGTACCTGCTTCCATCTTCGTCGAGAGTATAGATCTTCTTTCTTGAAACATCCTGGAGGAAAATTTGGTTGTCGTTTTAACTGAAGGAGATGATTGGGGGTTAAAGGTTCTAGATCGTTAGGGTCATTTGATATAGATGTAATGGGTCTGTCATTTAGGATCATTTCCACTTTACACATTGCTGTATGCAGGCCTTCATCATCAAGTATTTGTTCTTTAGTAACAGAATATAAAACCTTTTTTTACTGATTTAATCAATCTTTCCCATACACCCCCAAAATGTGCTACAGATGGTGGGTTGAACATCCAGTTTACTCCAATATCAGTCAAAATTCAAGTAATCTTCTCATGTTTGAGTGTTTTCAATGTTTCCTGTAATTCCTTTTGTGCACCAATAAAATTAGTTCCTTGGTCTGTTCTAATAGTTGCAACTGGGTCTCTCCGGGCTATGAATCTTCTTATAGCATTTATACAGGAATCTGTATCAAGAGAATTTGTTACTTCTAAATGCACTGCACGTGATACAAGGCAATTAAAGATGACTCCATACCTTTTTACATGTGTGCGACCTCTTTTAATTTCCATAGGGCCAAAGTAGTCTATTCCTGTGTTTGTGAAAGGCGGCAAGTCAGGGGTTATACGGTCTTGAGGTAAATTTGCCATCCTTTGTTTGCCTACTTTCCCCTGAATACGTCTACAGAAGGTGCAATGATGAATTATACTTCTTGCCATGTTGTTTGCACAAGGTAGCCAGTAGCGCTGAAGTAATTTGGAAAGCATGTAGTTTCTTCCTAAATGGCCATAACTCTCATGAATGTGTTTTAAAATTAATTTAGAAACAGGAGAATTTTGCGGAAGAATAGTAGGATTTTTGATTTCCAGTGGCATTGCAGATTTGCCAAGTCTACCTCCTACCTTGAGTAAGCCATTGTCAATGAAGGGATTTAGATTGGCAATAGCACTTCTGTTTTTAACTGGATTTCCATGTTGAATGTCTTTGAATTCTTCTTTGAAGTGTTGTTCCTGTACATATCGAATGATTGATTCTTCTGCATCTTTGAGATCTTCTACAGATAAATTTGGTTCAGTTATTCGGTGTGCAACATTAGAACTTGTATCAGGGATTACCTTATTAGATTTCTGTTTCCTTTTCAGGATGGCTTTAAGGAAGTTCTTAAATTTTAGAATCCATCCAACAGCTCTCCTGAGCTTGTTCCATTGGGAATAGTATTCAACCAGTTTGTTTGTATCAGGTTTTTGTTCATTCATTATAGTTAGTGCATTGACATTGACAAAAATAGGTTTCTTGACCTCTGGGTCATCTGAATAGGTGATAGGCATATTAGAACAGTGATCTTCCTCTAATTTAAGGAGGTCTGGTCCATGTAGCCATTGTTTCATTTCTGTTAATGCACTGGCATCTAGTCCTTGAGATGCACAATCTGCTGGATTATCTTTAGATTTCACATATCTCCACTGATTAGGGTTTGAAAGATCTCGAATAATGGAGAGTCTATTTGCTACAAAGGTGTGAAATCTAGAATGTTCATTGTTTATGTATTTGAGAATTAACTGACTGTCAGTCCAAAATACAGATTTTTCCAAGGGTAGGCAAAATTCCCTTTTCAACATTCGATCAATATGTGATGCTAATGTAGCTGCTGTCAGTTCTAATTTGGGGATGATTATTTGCTTAAGTGGAGCAACTCTTGGCTTGGCAAAAACAAATGCTGTTTCGGTCTTATTCTTGTTATTGCTGTATCTGAGGTAGCTCACAGTTCCATAGCCACATTCACTTGCATCACAGAAGTGATGAAGTTGAACTGTTTTGAATTCTCCAAAATCTGAGGACTTTATGCATCTTGGAATGCATAGCCAGTCCCAGTCTTTGAACCATTTTTCCCATGGACATGAAGTCATTGTTATATTTATTTTGTTAAATTAACTACAAGTTAATTCTGAATATTCATAATTAGTAATAACTCATTATTATTGATCATAATATCGAAAACTGAGCTAATTTCACTGCACGTGTCTAAATTGATTATCTGAAAAGAATCAAAGCAGATACGCAGTTTTGTTAGGGTGCTTTCACACCTGCCTTATTTAGTTCGGTTGAATCGCACTAGAGTTTGTTTTTCCTCTTGGTGCGGTTCGTTTGGGCAGGTGAGAATGCAGCAATTGTACTCGAGTGCGCACCAAAAGCAGACCAAATAAGCGTACCGAGACCTGCTTGAAGAGGTGGTCTTGGTACGCTTTTAAACGAACCCTGGAGCGATTAGTTTGTGGTGAGAATATGATTCGTACTAAAACAAGTCCAACCGCAAAAAGTACTGCGCCTTTTGGACTAATCCAGCTGCCATAGGCCGATGCGCTGTGCATTATGGGATATGGAGGAAAAATATTTGCTGACAGCAGTTTACCAACAGAGAGAGAGAGAGGGGAAGACATTACCTGATGAAATCGTTTCATTTCCGCAAGATGACCATGTCGCAGATTAGCTAAATTAATTTATGCCTCCTCCTGAAGTGACGAGCGATGCATTAAACACTGTTTTCCAGCCGCGGCCGCGCTTCATTCTTGTAATGTATAGTTTGTCTAAAGCAGGCATACAATCAGTCAGCGCAGTCGTCCCACCAGAGTAAAAACGACATTTTGTGTCTGCCGGTTTGTTTACTTGCGGGAGTTCATTGGCATTTTCCTGCACGTGAATTTTGACCAATCAATAAGCAACTTAGGAACTATGTTTAACAACATCTGGCCAATGAGAGATGTGGATTTTGTCTGATGACTGCATTTTGGTTTGTTTCAGCTGGTTCGGACCAAAGTCAGCAGTGTGGTGTAAAACCGACCCAAAGACGGCAGAAGATGCAACAATGTATCATTTATTGCCCTTTGTCCGGACCAAATAAAGCGAACTACAGATGTGAAAGCACCCTTAGACTATGGCGACCTTACACCTTCAAGGTTACAAGGGTTCTCTGTAGCGTGAATCCTCTCATGTTTTTTCAGATTCCTTGAATCAATAAATCTCTCGTCACAGTGTGAACACATGTAAGGTTTCTCTCCAGTGTGAGTCCTCTCATGTCTTTTCAGGTTTCCAAATGCACTGAATCTCTTGTCACAGTGTGAACACATGTAAGGTTTCTCTCCAGTGTGAGTCCTCTCATGTGTTTTCAGGATTCCTGATAAACTGAATCTCTTGTCGCAGTGTGAACACTTGTAAGGTTTCTCTCCAGTGTGAGTTCTCTGATGTGATTTCAGGCTTTCTAACAGACAGAAACTCTTGTCACAGTGTGAACACTTGTAAGGTTTCTCTCCAGTGTGAATCCTCTCATGCATTTTCAATTTTACAGCCGTAATAAAGGTCTTCTCACACTCCAAGCAAATATGCTCTCTTACACCGGTGTGGATCTTCTGATGACTCCTTAAACCATCTTGATCTCTGAAACTCTTTCCACAAACAGTGCATGAACAAGGCTTCTCCTCTGTATGAACTCGAAGGTGTCTCTTCAGGTATGAAGCCATCAAAAATGTTTTCCCGCACTGATCACATTTGTGTGTTTTCTCTCCAGTGTGGGTCAACATGTGTCTACCAAAGTTTGTTGTGTGTCTGAAACTCATCCCACACTGGGAACATGTGAACGGTTTCTCTCCAGTGTGGATCATCATGTGATTAATAAGGTTTGAGGGGTGTCTGAAACTCTTCCCACATTGAGTGCATGTGAATGGTTTCTCTCCAGTGTGGATCATCATGTGATTTCTGAGACCGTGTTTGCTTGCCAGACTTATTCCACAATGAGTGCAGGGGAAACAGTTTTTGTCTTTTCTCTTCAGTGAGTTATCTATGATTTTCTCATGACGGCGTGTCTCCTCCATCAGGCCTGAAATAAAAGTAAACAGACTGCCTTTAAAATTAATTATTTAAGAAAGTGAAAGCCACCACTAAAGTTTCATTCATGATCACTTTTGGTGTCTTTTTGTAAACTTCATTTCACAAGCAAGGTACACTGATCTTCCAATCATTCATTTTAAAACACTTGTCGTATAAAATCAACCGTATTACCATTTCATCATTACCTTTAGATGCTTTTACACATGTTTAGACAATGCATTGATTATAATGTGTCCCTTTGAAGTGGTGGATTTTAGGGCTGGGCGGTATATTGGATTATGGTGATATATCAATATGATTCTCCAACGCGATGCGATATTTTCCAGTATCGTTTATATCGATACAGGGCTCGACAGTGCGACCATTTCACTCACATTTGTGACTAAAAATAGACCTGTGCGAAGTGGAAAATTGATTTAGTCGCACGTGTGATTTTCTTCTTTTATAAGCTCTATTGATGACTTAATTCACGGTAAAACAACATGCTCTTCACAGTTACTTATGGTGTATTAAATTGAAAATCTATTATGACTTTAGCACATGCTGATGCTAGAGCTGCACGATATTGGAAAAAATTGACATTGCGATATTTTTTTTCCCTGCGATATATACTGCGATATTATATATATATATATATATATATATATATATATATATATATATATATAT